CGTATGGTAGACCCAGTGCTGCCTACTGGGCACCTCCGTTTGGAAAGTCCGTGAAACCAGGGACCGGTCTCTTATGTATGGACCTACTAAGTTTTGTTAAGCGTCGCTTGGGGACAGGAAAGGAGGTTACTAGCAGGAGAGGTTTCAGTATGTTGGTGGATATCAGAGAGTGTGGTTCAGGAGAAGGTTCACAGTGGTGGGCTGACTGACTTCTCCCAGGAGAATGTGGGAAGTGAGGTTTGGGGGACAGGCTGGTATATTCTTGTTAGTGACCCGCCCTGGCACCTGTTTGAAACCGAAAGATCTGATAACTCAGCTCTGTGCTTCACTGTGTGCATCAGATATACATACCTGGTGCAAGTGTTTGTGTATCAAGAGGCAGATCAAGTTGCCTGCCTGGAGCTGACCACTTACAGCTCCCACAAAGTCAGGTCCCAGCCCTTCTCGAGAGCCCCTTCCCCTTGTTGAGTTTACACAGACCATAAATAATATTCAATGTACCAGCTCTGACGGGGCTGTCATCTAGACAGAAGCTGACTGGCAGGGCGCAGTGGTGAATAATAGCAATGCCCAACAAGCCAAGAAGAGCCATAAAGTTAGAATTACTTGGCACTGTTGTTGTCCTTTGCCTGCCTGTTTCGGTATGCTGAAGACTGCACTGCACAATCGAGCTTGTTGGAGATCACGGGGGCAGGGGAGCAGGACTATAAATAAACATTATTATCCCAATTGAATACAGTCTATAAGCAGTGTTTCAGTGGAAGGGGTTACAGACGCAACAAGGCTGTGTTATTCATAATTGTTAGCACAAGCGGTTGGTTTAGGAAACTACCCTCCTGAGCGCAGGCTTCTACAGAGGTGCCTGAGAACTGGATCCTTCTTCCTTACAGGGCTTCCTGAGATGAGACTCCTGCAGGCAGTGGGGGCAGGAAACGAGAGAAAGGACAGGACATGTTCTGAGTGGAGTAGCCCAATCAAAACTCTTATTGCAACTAAAGGGCAGATTTTTAATAAGCAGACAACTGAGCTGGAATACCCAGATTGGCTGTGTGAAGCCCTTCTTTCTTTAGAGACAGGGTTTCCTTTCAAGAGCTCATACTACCTATTAGTAAACTGTACAATGAATTTGCCCTGAGTGATCAACACCAGCTATTATAATCAGGGGCATGTGTTAGCCTTCAGGCAAACAGGTTGGGAGGGAAAATGCCAGAGGCTTTTGAAAAACAGGCCACAAAACAGCAGCATATTGTGAAGAGAGGCCATTACCTTTTTAGAAAAGTTCCAACCCTGCACGTAAGAGGCATTTGCTGCATCTCCTGGAACTGAACCAGTCTCCCAGAGAGAGGCCTGTACTCTGACCTTGGTCACAGGACCACTGCTTAAATTTGATCTCCAAGGATGTTTGCACTGTGAAAGAGTGCTCGGAGTCATGTAAGATGTCTCTCAATTAACATTTAATATGGAAACATAGATTCGGGAGTGGGAAGGAGGGCATACAGGAGTTATTCTGGAATTGGTAAACACCAAGGCTGTTGGTTGAATTTGCAGGATTCCTTAAATGCTTCCCTGTGTCTGAACAAGGAATCTTAAACTGGGTTTCTCTGTGCACAACATACTGGTCATCATGTGTTCCTGACCAAGAAACTGTTTGCAGAACCTCAGACACATTGGATCAATTAATGGCTCACCCATTCTTGGAGAAAGCTATAATTTGATTTTCTACACAAAGGATGCTTAAGGCATACTGACAGGAAAAGGCTTGATGATAGTGGAAAAGTTAGAAGCCTCCAGGACATAATATTTCTCCATTTAAAAAGTAATAACTGTTAAAGTTGTATCTGCTGTTAGCCTTGAACTCCCTGTTGTGCCTTGGACAAGTTCCTGCCTTAGTCAGAGCAGGAGTCTTCTCCAGGACAGTGAGATGTACAGGATGAGCACACTAGCCTGCCAATCAATGGCTTACACTTGATCCTAGAACGTGAAGGCTCAGTTTCTCCTCATTGCATGTGAGTCTGACTTGGGAATTCACATAGGAAACCATATAAAGGTTACATGTCAATGGAATATTCATATTTTATGAGCTTGGAATGCAGGACACCAAGGACACAGTTGTGGCCTTTGCCTTTACAATCTAGTCCCTGAGAAGTTTGGAGGGAAATTAAAAGCTAATATTGCCTTACTTCTCATCAATGACCTGATTTTGGGAGCTAATCCAAAATCAGGGGAAAGAAGGTTTGAATTTGGAATTCTGAAGACCACCTATAGTGTCCATGCATCTGCTATGATAGACCCCTAACATATCCTGAAAAATACAAATTCAATTAAATAGAAATTATTTTCTTCACTCTCTCCCTCTTTCCTTCTATGTTCTTTCTTTCAGATATTTTCTTTTTCTGAGTCCGTATTTTTTTGAGTTTCTGCCACTTCTGCAGCTGTCACTTCTCAGTCACAAAGATGTGGACATTTCTGATGTCCATGGTAGTTTATTTAATAGTGGATTACTCAGCTTCACTAATGTCTGGTTTTCACACTATCAAATTCATTATTTAGGCAGTACCATGTTGCTTCACATAGTGACTGAGCTAGGTGGCCCCCCATGCTGTCTGAGCCCAAGAACATTTCCACCTGTTTGTAGTTGTTCCTCCATACCTGTGCAACCAGCCCAATCAAATGCTAGCCAGCTTGCTTTCTTTCCATTTCTATGTATTTGTCTCTTGTTCACAAAGTATGGATAGAATTCTCTAATATGTGGACTTGGTCTATGTTTTTTCACGTACTGTACACTCCCCTGTGTTCACAATGGTTGTAATAAGTGTCACTGATTGCTATTTCATTTATTTTTACTGCCAAATAGTATTCCACATTTTATTTATTGTCAATTGATGGGCATTAGTTTATTTCTATTGGGGAAGGATGAATGATGCTGTTATGTACATTCTTGAGCCGTGTGTGTGTGTGTGTGTGTGTGTGTGTGTGTGTGTGTGTGTGTGTGTGTACGTGTGCGCGCATTTCCGTACGTGTGTGAACATGTGTGTATTTCTCTTAGGTTTATTTTGAGTAGTAGAATTTCTGGGTTACATGGCCCACTCTATGACTTTTGATGAACTGCCACAAGCCTTCCTTATGCTAGTTAGTTTTTTTGTCAACTTGGTACAGGCTAGGGTCATCTGGGAAGGGGGAGCCTCAGTTGAGAGAATGCCCAATAAGATTGGACTATAGCCAAATATGTGGGGTATGTTCTTGGTTAACAATTGATGTGTAAGGGCCCAGTCTAGGGTGGGTAGTGCCATGCCAGGGCAGATGGTCCTCGGAGATATAATAAATTAAGCTGAGCATGACTCTGGCAAGCAAGCAGTGTTTCTTTGTGGTCTCTGCCTCCATGTCTTGAATTTGTGTCTTGACTTGCTTCAGTGACTTGAGAGTTATAAGATGGCATAAATGCTGTCTCCCCTGGATTGCTTTCAACCATGGTCACAGCAATGGAATGCAGACCAGAGCATTCCTTAAGTGTCCAAGTGATTTCCCATCACCATCACCACGGTGAAGTGTTGGTTCCTGAGCCTCCTCACTGGCAATGTTAAACACATTTTAACCAAAGTCAGTGTCAGGTGGTGTCTTCATTATAGTTCCGTTTTAATGGCAGTTACTTTTCTAAGACAAGATCTTACTGTACAGCCCAGGTTGGCTGCAGACTCCTTATCCTCTAGCATCAGCTGCAGAGCCCTGCACTTGTAACTGTGCCATTGCGTCTAGCTTAGCAGTTGCTTCTCTCAAGTAAACTTTTCCCTTTTCATTTTTTCTCCTCCCCTCTCAGGTCAGCCAGTACCCGTTCCTTCTTAGGCTTTCAGTTCACATTGTTTTTGCCCAGGAAAGGTGGGAAGGAAGAAAAAGGAGATGGCAGAAGAGCCGGGGGAAGCAGGGGAGGGAAGAAAATGAGTATGTCTCTGTGAGGGCTTGTGCATTTGAATTTGTGTTTCCTCTACAGAGAGGAAGGAGATGCATCATCTTTAGAGAAAGCAGGGATGAGAGCAAGCAGTTGTCCCGGAGTGCATCCTCCCCCTGGTGCAAGCCCTGAATTGAAAAGCCAGGTGCACACAGAAGAAGTGAGACCCTTGGAGTTGGTCTGATGCCTGCCCAAGAGCCTTACTCCAGTGTCCTTTGAGGGAAGGACATCAAACCTCTCTATAGGTCTTTTGGGAGGACATGTTAACTAGAGCACAGCTCCAGAGGAGACACTTGGCTTGTATCCTGCCTGTGCTGTTTTCACACTATGTGAGTTTGAACAACTTATTCAACCTCCCAGGGTTTAAAGGTCCTCCACTGTGACAGAGAGTCCACCTGCACTAATGGTTAGGTGAATTCCATGGGTTAGTATACAAGTCTATGCGCGCTCATATCTGCATCTTACAGACATCTTAGTTGGTGTTCTGCAGAGGGGTCTCATTGAAACTGAAACTCGCCATTTTGGAAAGGATGGCTGATTAGCAGCCCCTAGGGTCCACTTGTAAGGGATCTGAACTCAGGTTTTTGGGCTTGCAAACACT